GTTTGATCATACACAACAGTGAGGTACAGTTCTAAATGTCCATTTTACTCAAACCTTTTTCTCCAACAGTTAGTGGTTTGTGCTTGTTTTCACACAGATGTAGGCGGATTCACAGCAGCATTAAGTAAGCAGAGGAGAACTGGCCCTTCAGTTCTTTGTAGGAAGAGCTAAGGATGGGGTCTGAATTGTAGCTGCCATAGGATGACATTTTTCTGCTGAATTCAATACACCTACTTCAATTTACAGCTCCTAATATCTGGCCTGAATGCTGCAGAATGAGTAGTAGACAGGAGAAGGTGAGGAAGAAATACACAATTTGGTAATACATAATACATAGTTAAGAAGTACAGCCTAGAAACTTTCTTTGTTATAGTGAAACTGAACTCCTCTTGGATCAACTGATGAATATGAGTTGCATGTCTTTCGAAGGATCTTAGAGAGAGTCTTGGGTCCACAGAAGAATACTCCAATACTGTTGCTGTAATTGCAATAACAACAAAAACAGGAGAGTAGCAGAGTAAATGGATATACTGTACCTTTTGGATGCCTTCAGCTTTGCATCTTTTGAAATGGCTTTTTAAGAAATACATTTGAAAAAATTTGTGTTACTGTCACAAAGTATTACAGTATAATTATTTTAATACTTCAACGTTTATTATGTCTTATTGCATTATTTATTTGGATTACTGTATTAGAGGTCACAAATTATTTTAAATGGCAGTTCTTTGGTTTTGATCTTCATAGCTTTTTTTAATCAGAGAAGCAAACACACTGCTTGGGCTGAAAATTTTCAATGCTCTTTCTCCAGCAAAGTTAATCTTTTTTTCTAAAAAAATATACAAAATTCTCAGTTAATTCTGAGTTTTGTTCTTTTTTTTTGTTCTTTTTTTCCCCTCATTTTAACACTTCTCTGCCTATGGACAGTTTTTAAATGGCTGATTTAGTAATAAAATTTGGAAGTAGGTAATTCTTATAAGGTAAGAACGTGACCAACGGAACAAAGAATCGTGTTTGTAAGCACACAAGTCTGTTACAGGGAGTTGGAAACCTGGCTACTTGCTGCAAAGGGCCTTAAAGAGTTTTCTTCTAAGTACAGAACACATATTGCTTTAAAACATATATGTGTACGCACAGATACACAGACATGCTGTGCTACTGGGGAAAGCTCATGCGTAAATGCAGCACAAGTGATGAGTGACAGCATGAGTTTCAAAAAGTTTGCTCCTGTAAAGGAGGGGCTGTAGCTATGATTTGGGTGCCCAAGCCATAGCCCCCAGAAGTAGTGCTCACATTGCTCTGGTGTTTGACTGCACTAGGTATAACCTGAAGCGGTATATTCCTGCTAACCCGCTAAAAGGCACTGTTGCAGTCAAGTGAAAGTCCGTGGACCAAAGTGCAGGGACCCAAAATTTTGTCGGTTCGTAAAAGCTGATTGTTCCATCACACAATAGAAACTCTTGAGTTTCTTTGCTTCTTGAACTTTCTGTAACTCAGAGCAAGAAAAGGTAGGGTGTTTTTTTTCTCAGAAGGAGTACTTATTTCATGCAAGGTTTTGTTTAAAAGGTTCAACATTGATCATAAACATGGGCATCTAGGTTCAGAGGCAAATAGAGATTTTACTGTCACTTTAGTACTGGCTCTCTAAGGTAATACCACAAGATCCAGTATGGAAAGTTAATGCCCATCCTCTTCCCTGCACATCAGAAAATCAGGTTTTTCTCAGTTGTACTTAATAAAACTTACAAAAAATAGTGTTTCAACTATAAGTTTAAAAGCTCTGTTTATGCAGTAGAATCCCTATAAAAGGTCTTTCAAAAATCATATTTTCTACTCTTACCCTTTTTCTGTTTTTAATCTTTCATGTTTCCTGATTGTATTTATTTTGACCTTCATCAAGTGGTTTCTTTATTACTGTTATTTTTAAAATTTTATGGTATTCTTGTAGCTTACGATACTGTCTTTGATTTCCTCTCTTTCAGATTTGTCTTGGGTCTTTTTCATCTTTAAAAAAAGTTTCCTTCTCTTTCTTTTTGTATCTGTCTCCCAAATGCAAGCCTTTATTTTGCATTAGCAGGTAAGTGTTTGGAAATCATACAGTCACAGAGATTCTGGAATTTTCGACTGCTGAACACAAAATATTCCAAATTCTTGCTTCAAAGGCTTTCAGGAACAAAGAAGCTTTTCTCAGACCACTAGCAAATCCACCAAGTTCAAATGAACTGTCTTTGCCAGCAGAGATGAACTAATAACAGAACAGCATAGTCTTGCAAGAGTAGCCAAATATGTTAGGGGAACAAACATATCCTTGACATCCTAAGAAAAAAATCACAGTTTATCTCTTTAATAACCATCTTCAAGGGAAATTAATGCTACTTTGTCCTTTGTGCAGAACAGTAATTGGATTGTGTGTTTCAATTATATCTGGACAAAGGCCAGGATATTGAAATACTTCTAAATATTAGATTTTCTTGTCCAAAAATTAGATTTTATTGGCATTCTCTTTCCGAGATTTCTTCATTAAAAGCTTCATTAAGCATAAATCTTCTTTCCACACAGCAAAAAAACTGAATTATTTTTAAAGGGGCATTTAGAAAGGTTTTCCCTCCCATTCTCCCACTGTTTATGCTGAGAGAAGAGTTACCTAACAAGGTTAGAAACCAACCTGCCTTACCTAGGATGGTTTTCGGCTAGTTGCTTGAACTCAATGTCCCAGTTTGGCCTTCCATAGCAGGTCTTCTGTCTCAAACCAGTAATTACATCCATTTTGTCATCATAATGTAGTGCTATGTGAGTAGCCTAAAGGCAAATTTACAAGATAATTTTAGAGTCAAAAATGTATACTCCAAGTAGAATCATAGAATGGTTTGGGTTGGAGAGGACCTTATAGATCTAGTTTGACCCCCCCTGCCATCGGCAGAAACACCTTCCGCCAG